GGTACCGGTACCGGCGGCGCTAGCCGAAGCGGAGCGGGCAGACGCGCGACGATGGGGCCGGCCAGTAAATGAGGCTGGTTGCAGCGCTTTCGTCGTCTCGACGGCGTCTTCGTGTCGTTACGGCCCATCACGGACTCGGTCTCCTCGGGGGAGGGAGTCGAGGAGATGAGCCAATCCGGCTCCATCGCCTCGGCATCGCCGAGAAGAAGTTCCCGAAATCCGCCGTCTCTTGGCCTCAGACCCAGCCCGCGGGTAGATCCAAAGTCTTGGTCCGAGTCCGCGTTCCGGCTCATCCTCTCTCGGCCCCAAATGCTGGCCGAGCTGTAGCCCCTGTCGGCCGCGTGAACCGCCATCGTCTCTGTCGAACGTGTAGCTCGAGCCCGCGGAGGGGGCGTGGGCGGCGGGGAGGCTCTGGAGGCATCGCTCTCCTCTCCGCCCATCTGCCCCGTCGCGACAAGTGCGCCAGCCTCATTCTCTCTTGCCCGTTTGGCATTCGGCGATTTTGCACAGAATTGGCCTGAAGCACCGGCTTGACCGTCCGACTGGCCCGATTCCTGCAGCTCCAACGTCTCTTTCTTCCATGTCCGGTCTCCTACCATCGACTCACTTGCATGTGGATCGCATTGGATCCCGCCGGCTCTATGATTGCACCGGTCTGTAGTTGCCATGACTATGGGCCGTGATGTCTGACAACATTGCTTGGCCGAGGGGCCTTGGTCTCTTGGTTCAGTCGAGTTGACCAGACGCCATGTTGGCCCAAACTCATCTTCTTCCACGCCTGTCCGAGTGCCTGGGCAATTGGGCGGCATAGTGATGAGCTTACTCTCCGGCCCTGGTAACTGGTCAAACTCGCGTGTCTGGGCCGAAGCCCAACCAAAGGTTGGCCGAGTTAAGGCGAGATTTGCCGAAGCGCTGAGTGGCCTGACAGAAGAATTTACAGTCGCCACGGCAACAACGGGTTGGGGTCTGGGTTGGGGTGGCAACAGACCCTCGGCCCGGCTCGGACTGGCAGCATAGCCGGCCAGCAGTTGGACGAGGGTAGACGAGGAGCCGTTGGCAAGGCTGGTCTGGTCGTCTGTCGGCAGACTGGACAGCAGCGAGCTGTGCTGACAGGACTCGAACCGGGGCTCTGTCGACTGATTGAACGCGGTGCAGCGGGAGGATGCTCCAAGTTGGCCGAGAGTGATGGGACGACGAGGTGACGAGTGAAGCGACTCGAACTTGCAAATGCACGAAGCCGCTGTCGAATCGGGCCAAGGTGGAACCAACTCGGAGTCAGGCCGACTCGGACCGTCCGGTCTGGGACGATGTACCGGTCGGGCAGACGACGGCCCGGGCCTGTGATTGGTCGACTCGCCCTTTGGCCCGCTATTCGTCTGCCCCCAGGCCAGTCGGCCAACCACCTCAGGCTCGTCTTCATGGCCTCTTTCTCTTCGGCCAGTCGCTCGGCTCGGACTGGGCATGTCCGGTTGCCGTCTCGTCCCCTGGCCATCTGCTTTTTGCCTCTCTCCTCTGTCTCCCTGCTCGTCTGCCTCCTCTACACTCGACAGGTCTCTACCCTCGGTCGCCTCATCTTGCCTCGCTTCACATTCTCCTTTCGCCTGGCAACAAACTGCGCCTCTCCCCACCGCATCTGCCTCAAGCGTCGCCTCGCTGCCAGTCGCAGACTCGACACTCCACTCAAACTGGCCGCGATCACACTCACAGCTGATCAGCCGATTTGCCGCCAAATACGAAGTCTCCCAGGCTGGCTCGGTGAAGAGACGAGTCAGTCTGGTGTCCGTCTTGGAGGCGTCATGGTTGAACGGCACCCAACAACCACCAAACTCGCCAGCATTGTCTGCCCGAGTCGTCGTCTCTTCACACAACCGTCCACATGATGAGACGACCCATCCGGCTGGCTGAAAAGTCGCCTCACTCTCCAATCGTCTGCTCTTCACTGCCTCACTTTTGTCCATCTCTGGACATCTGCGCTTCTTCCCTTCTGGTAGACTTTTCGCTGAATCTCTCTGCTGCCCCTCCAGCCGCGTCTGTACCACCTCGTCGTCGCTGTCTCGGTCGCCCTTTGACTCATCACTCGTCGACCTGTCAAGGCTGTCCACAAAAGTGACATTGTGATATGTGTCGCCCTCATCTGCCTCGTCTGCCTCGTCTGCCTCGTGTGAAGTGACTGGAGGCGCCAATTCAGACAAAGTGGATTCCTCGGACGCCCTATTGCCCTGCA